TTATAGACCATATGTTGAATGGATCCAGGAGAGGGTGGAAAGGTTGTTGTTACCGTTCCCGATTGGAGAGCCTCTATATCCTTTGGTAGTTGAAGAACCAACGACAGTTGACATTCAGAAATACGATCAACTACGGGCTGAAAAGGAAGAACTACGCAAAGTGAACGAAGAGTTGGAGAAGGATATCATTCAGCTTAGAAATGAGAAGAATCAAGCCAATCACCTATCCAAGAAGCAGACAGAGACCCTGAACAAGATGGGGAGGGAATTGACTGAAGAAATTCGCGTCAGGGAACGTCTTGGCCAGGATATGAGGAGCTTAGGTAATGCTCTCAAAGGGAAGAAATTCACTTCTCATAAAAACACAAAAACAACATCAAACCTTTTTATCCTTCGGGATTATTTGAAAATCATTTACAGAAAGAGTGTGTTAACTCTTGGTTCTACCGCAAACATGCGTCGTCCCTAACTGCTAAAACGAAGGTTTAACCCAACTCAGTTAAAACACTTGAACCAACCTGTGGTCGTGTCATCCCGAACTACGTTTGCTCTGATTTCTCATGCCAGACGAGGATACGTAGGCACAAGTCGACGATGTCTTGGCGAGCAACCTTCTCCCCTTCACCCGTAGTTTTCCGAACTACGTTGATTCTGACTTTCTCATTGGACGAGGGAATACGTAGGCATAGAGCGGCGATGCTCTATCGAGTCTCTTTTCTTTTCTTTTTTCCTTGTGTTTCATCCTTTTAGATAGTTTTTACACCCTTTTAGATAGACAACAAGCGTGGATCCTATTGAGTACAACGGACGTGAGGGGTGCTCATGCCTTCCCCTTGCGCAACCGACTCCCGAACCCAAGATTTGGTTGCGATGACCTTGTCTTTTCCCTTTTCTTCAGGTTTTCTTCGATCGTTTCCTTTCCCTCTCTTTGGGATAAATAACGACCGGTGGCGACTCTTCTGTCAGTCAGCCGACCCTTTTTCGCAGTTGCGACATAAAGTATAGGGAAAAGATCGAAAGAAAACTCTGAGTGCGCAATGTAACAACAAAGCTAAGAGATCTAAGGTTCGAGGGTTGGTTATACTAAAGGAAGGTACTAGCACCCTAAGTATCTATAGTACTCTACAAGAACCTCTTGTTTGTATTTTGTGTTATGCTATTGTTAGCCATTAGGGAAGGACCTAAAGTTTTCCTAAGTATGCTCGCCAAGACATCGAATCTCATGCCTACGTATCCTAACAAGGATGGAATCAGAGCATTTGTAGTTCACCTAACTAGAGGTGAGGAACACTTGATAGTGATCAAGGTTCCAAAAGGGGAGGTAAGTGTCTATAACAATGACACTCCTATATAGAGTTAGGAAACTTTAAACCTAAGGCAAGGTTTAAAAGGGAGGACTCTAACAAGGTCCATAGAGGGAGTAAATGTCCATAGCAATGACACTCCTACATAGAGTTAGGCAACTATAAACCTAAGGTTAGGTTAAAAAGGGTAAGGACTCTAACAAAGTCCAAAGGGAAAGTGAGTATCCATGGCAATAATACTCCTACATAAAGTTAGGCAACTCTAATCTTAAGGCTAGGATGGGAAAGCTAAAGACTCTAACAAGGTCAAGAGGGAAAGGTAGGCAAGGCTAAACTATCCTAATGACAATAAGTTAAAAAGAGGGGATCCTTTCCTTTGGGTTTAGATTAAGAAGAGATTTTGGATGGAAAAATCTTCTTTTATGGTAAATTGCTATATTCTTGATAATCTGTTGGTAGCATATAAAATTTTACATCATATGAAGTGAAAAAAATGAGGGAAGATAGGTGAAGTGGCCCTCAATATTGATATTATCAAGACATATGATAGATTAGATTATAATTTTATTATGGGAATAATGAGAAAGTTAGGCTTCAACGAGAAGTGGGTAGGTTGGATGGGATTTTTTATGTCTAATGTGAAGTATTAAGTGATTGTTAATGGCGAAGGTATATATTTATAGAAACCATGAAGAGATTTATGATAAGGGGATCCTTTGTCTACATATTTGTTCATTATATATGCAGAGGTCCTCTTGAAGAAACAATAATCTCGAGGAGACATCCACGATGTCAAAGTGTATAGAGGAGTTTTGCTTTTGACATGCTTGTTATTTGTAGATGACTATTTTTTTAGCAGGGCAAAGGAAAAAAGAGGCAAAAAAATTAGCGGATACTTTAAAAAATATGAGGAGGCATCTGGCCAGGCTATCAATTTACAAAAGTTGGAGATTTTCTTGAGCACGAACATGGATCAAGCAATAAAGGAACTAGTCAGAGGCATACTACAAGTTACATAACGCACCAGACAAGGAAAATACTTAGGCAAGCTTTCGATAGTTGATAGAAAGAGGAAAGTAGTCTTTAACCTCATTCGTGATTGCATATGAAAAAGAATTCAAAGTTGGAAAGGAAAATATTTGTCAAAATCAGAGAGAGGTGCTTATGAAATCTGTTGCACAGTCAATACCAACATATTATATGAGTTTCATCTTATTACTATCAATCCTAGGTGATGGAATAGAAAAAAATTCAATTCACTTTAGTGGGGGTCAAAACGTCATAATGGGAAAGGAATAAACTAGTTAAGGTGGGAGAAAATGGACATATGAAAGGAACACAAAGGCATGAGTTTTAGAAATTTGCAAGGCTTTAATTTGGCTATGCTAGGGAAGCAAGTTGGCGTCTAAAAACCAACCAAGATACTATCATTGCTCAAGTCTTCAAGGCTAGATATTTCTAAATAGGGAGGTTTGTGAATGCAAGTTTGGGTCATAACCCGAGTTTTGTTTGGCATAGTATCCATGCTTCACAGGTTGTGGTCAGAGGTGGCCTTAGATGGAGATTAGGGAATGGTTCGATGATAAAAGTTTGGTCATATCCTTGGCTTTGCGATGGTGATAAGGGTATGATCACGTCCATCATGGTTATGAAGACGAAAAATATACGAGTAAATGATTTAATTGATCCCGTCACTCATGTATGGAGATATATATGGCATAATCAACTTTCTTTTTTATAATGTAAAAAAAGTACGCACTCGGATGATGATGACGAAACGGGGACGCGGGCGGCCGAAATCCACGGTTCCACCGTCACCGGAGACTCTTACCAACTCAAATACTCCAAAGGCTGTTTCAGGAGTCACCACTACGATGAGAGAAGCTGGGAAAAGTACTGAGAAGATAATCAAGAAAGAACCCACTGAAACCCTAACAGAACAGACACAGGTGAAGCCGGACAAACGGAAACTCTGGGTTGACGTTATTAGTGATAATCAGAACCCTACTAAGGGATTGTCTTTGGAATAAGTTGAACCAAAGGTAATTAATGGAGTGATTGGAATTGATATTGAACAGGAAGACATTGAAACAGAATTACGATTCTGGGATAATTCTCTCATACTGTATGTTGTGGGAGATAATTTGAGCCTGAACACGGTGAAGAATTTTATGCAAAGAATGTGGAATTTCATCAAGATGCCGGATCTTTACTACCACGATGACGGGTATTTTCTGCTCAAATTTAACTCGCACGAAGACAAGGAAGTTGTCATGATGAAAGGCCCTTACACAATTAGAAATATGCCCATGATATTGAAAGAATGGCAATCTAGTTTCAATTTAAAGAAGGACCTACTCAGAACACTACCAATATGGATCAAACTGCCTCAACTTCCCCTGCATCTTTGGGGAGCAAAAAGCCTTAGCAAGATTGGAAGTGCCATTGGTAAACCATTGGTGACTGATGAATGCACATCGAATAAATTGTGTGTTTTGTATGCTAGAATACTGATTGAAGTAGATATTACAGAACCATTGATTGATGAAATCACCATAAGGAATGTTGCAGGAGATATCATAATGCAGCCAGTACAATATAAATGGAGGCCCACCTTCTGTGAAACATGTCAAAAACTGGGACATAACTGTGAAGACGGAGGAAAGATTAAAAAATGGATACCAAAACCCATACAAAAGGAAAAACTCACAGTCATAACACCGACACAACAACCAATACGAGAGAAACCAACAGATGAAGAAGGAGTATCTTGGACAAGGGTGAAGAAATATGTATGAGATAAAGGAAAAAACATAATGTCTGATACATCTAGCAGCATAAATTGTGTTAATAGTTTTGAATCACTAGAGGTTTTGAATGATCACCAGGTGGTCATAAACCTTGAACCATGTTAGTCTCATGGAATATAAGGGGACTCAATAAAGTAGGCAAAATGTGTGAGATTAAGTGCCGTCTCCAAGATCTGAAGCCTGCAATAATCATTTTGATTGAAACAAGAGTCAAAGAACCAAAAGCAAAGGACATTCGAGAAAAATTGATGTTGTATGAGAATCACATGGACAACTATAAAGACCACACAAATGGGAGGATATGGATTCATTGGGACAGAAACAAGGTGGATATGAGATTTCTACATAGTACCAGCCAATTGATCCACTGTGGTGTATATGATAACAGTGGAACACTCAAACACTGGTTGACTGCTGTTTATGCACATAGCCAACTACACAAAAGAAGAATCCTATGGAAGGAAATTGAACACCTATCTAGCCACATCCAAGGTCCCTGGTGTATCATTGGTGATTACAATAATGTAATCAAAGCCCAAGACATAATGGGGGGTAACCTGGTAACAGAAAGGGAATATGAGGATCTGAAAAGAATGATGGAGCATACTGGTTTAAATGAGATGGACAGCATTGGGGACCATTTCACATGGTCCAATAAGCAAGCAGCTGCACCATCTACTCAAGGATTGACAGAATTTTGGGTAATACTGATTGGTTCCTCACCAATATGGAAACTGTGTTGAAAATACTTCCACCAAATATTTCTGATCATGCATTGCTCTACTTAGACACTAAGGAACAAAGGAAAACTACCAGACATTTTAAGTTTAACAATTACCTTACTGAACTGCCTAGATATGATGAACTGATAAAAAGGATCTGTGATATGTATATGAGAGGCAGTCCAATGTATGTATTATGGAAAAAACTCAAAAGATTGCAGCAAGAACTAAAAGCCTTTAGCAAGCCTTTTTCTGATATCAGAAACAAACTAACAACAGCCAGAGACAACCTTAAAAACATACAAGAGCAGCTGATTAGGGACAAGATGAATACCATCTTAATTGGAAAGGCAAGGGATCTGACTGAGGAAGTGATAACACTAAAAGAGATTGAATGGGATATTTTACAACAAAGGGCAAAAGTCGACTGGATTAGGAAAGGAGATGGAAATAATCACTACTTATATGTTGCTGTCAAAATAAAACACCATTCCACCTGCCTTACCAATCTGCAAAGAAGTGATGGCAGCCAACTATCAGACTAAAATGATATTGAAGAGGAAGTGATGGTTTTCTACAAGAATCTGATGGGCAAAGAGGATAACAATATTAACCATATAGATATTGAGGCTATGAGAATGGGAAAACAACTCAACTTGGAACAGAGGGAATATCTCACCAGAAATATCACAGAGGATGATATCATCAAAGCCCTTAGAGGAATTGGCAACCTCAAAGCACCAGGCCTGGATGGTTATGGAGCCAAATTCTTCAAGGCTAGCTGGACAACCATCAAAACTGATGTGATAGCAGCGATAAGGGATTTTTTCGAAATAGGTAAAATATACAAACCTTTCAACAATGTTGTAGTATCCCTGATTCCAAAAAGCAATGAGGCTTGTGAGATTAAAGATTACAGACCCATAGATGTGTGCACCATCTTTTATAAAATCATCTCCAAGATCCTGACTGGAAGATTGGGATATGTCCTTCCTAGTGTGATAAGCCACAATCAGGCAGTGTTTATACAGGGTCAAAACATTCATAACCACATCATGCTTGCTACTGAAATCATAAAAGGGTACACTAGAAAAGGGGGCACACCTAGAATTATGATGCAAATAGACCTTCAAAAAGCATATGATATGGTTAATTGGAAAGCACTGGAGTTTATAATGAAGGAGTTAGGCATTCCAAATAAATTCATCCAGTGGACTATGCTTGGCATCACCACGGTATCCTACAGGTTTAACATCATGGGGGGTTATACTGAGGTCCTTCAAGCCAAAAGAGGGATTCAACAGGGTGATCCTCTATCACCTCTATTATTTGTCCTCATTATGGATTACATGAACAGGTTGTTGGTCAAAATGCAAAGGGATCCTAATTTCAATTACCATGCCAAATGTGAGAGTCTGAAAATTACCAACCTCACTTTTGCAGATGACATACTGCTGCTGTGTAGAGGTGACGAAATTTCAATGAAAATGATGTTAGAAACTTTCAGAAATTTCTCCAAATCCACAGGTCTGATGATGAACCCTAACAAATGCAAGATTTATTTTGGGGGTTTGGATATGGAAACTAGAAAGAGATTGAAGGAGCTATCGGGTTTCCAAGAAGGCGCCCTATCTGTCAAATACCTAGGAATCCCTCTTACTAGCAAAAGATTAACCATCACCCACTTTATGCCATTGGTGGATAAAATAGTGGCTAGAATTCATCATTGGTCTTCTAGGCTCCTAAATTATGCCGGTAGAATTCAACTAGTGAAAAGCATAGCTTATGCAATGGTACAATACTGGATGCACTGCCTCCCTCTGCCCAAATACGTGATCAAAAAAGTCGATGCAATTTGTCGGAGCTTCATTTGGTCAGGAAAAGATACTGCGAGCAGGAAATGCCCTGTGGCGTGGAAAACCACATGCAGGCCTGCTGCGCAAGGTGGGATGAACATACTAAACCTTCAGATCTGGAACAACGTGCTACTCTTGAAATGCCTCTGGAACCTTTGCAACAAAACAGACACAATCTGGGTTAAATGGATACATACTCAATACTTAAAAGGAAATAATGTGATGAATTATGTTCCCAAACCACATAATTCTTGGATCATGCGGGGCATTTTGAAACAAAGAGATAATATGGATTTGATTCGGTATGAATGGAACCAAGCTATGACCATGCGCAAGTTTAAAGCGACAACTTTTTATAAGATATTAATTGATGATGGCACAAGGGTGCACTGGAGAAGACTGATCGGGTACAACAAAGGACACCTGCGAGCAGTCCAATGCTTATGGCAAGCTTGTCATGCGAAGCTTGCGACCAAAGAAAGATTGAAATGTTTTGGGGTGATTGAAGATATCATTTGAAGTTTATGCAAATCGGAGGAGGAAACAATAAGCCACCTGTTCTTCTCCTATCCAAGAACAAGACACATTTGGGTGGAAATACTCAAATGGTTCAACATACAACATGAGCCCCAACAATGGGATACAGAACTGATATGGATCACTAATCAAACAAAGGGGAAAGGATGGAAAGCTGATGTTTTGAAGATGGTAACAGCCGAAACCATCTACAACATTTGGATTTACATAAATAATATTACTTTTGGAAACATAGTAGATAATGCAAACATGGTTGAAAAATCATAGATAATGTGATTTATAGAGGGTGACAAAACAATAGAATTAGGAAACATTTGGCTAGTCTTATGATGTAATTAAGTCTTTTGGGGGGTTGGATCCTCTTTGGATCACTTTTGTACTTGACTTTGTTTTTTGAATCAATATATTCTTCCTTGATTCAAAAAATAAAACATTACCTATTATAGAAGAAGTATTAGGCGACAAACATTTTTGAATTTCACTCCTCACACTGATTATAGTGTCATCTTCGCTTATCAATATCTTATGGAAGGTCTAATGAATAATAGCAACATGCATATAGAAGGAAATTGGAAGAAGCTTTGGAGCATCAAAATATCCCAAAAGGTGGACGTGTTTTTAGGAAGGGCAACGCGTTGTTGTTTACCAACATGATATCAACTTCAAAGTCTAGGAGTGCAGTATGGTGATCAATGTGTGATGTGTGAGTGGTCATATGAAAATGATTAGCAGGCTTTCTTTGGGTGTGATGAGGTAAAATAGGTGTGGGAATCAGTTGACTTTGGCACATCATTAGTTAAAATTTAGAGGTTGCAGATGGCTTTGTTATCTTATTTTTCTAGATACTTGAACAATTAATGAACCAACAAACTCTATCTTTTGTCATGACCCTATTGAGTATATAAAAGCGAAGGAATATACTTTGTAAAACAACATTACGATGAGTCACACATGATTGTGCATATGGTGCGTGAATCTCAGCTGCAATTGCAACAATCAGAAAACAATGAGAAGCGCAGGGTCAACGCGATGCAACAAGGAGGTGAAATAGCCATCCATGAGCAAAACATGTGGCAGAGTCTAGAAATAGGGGAGGTAAATGTAATGTTGACGCAGAAATATTCAAGGAGCAATAATGTTATGGAGTGAGAATGTGTCTTAGAGAGCAACATGATGAATATATAAATCTAAGACAACATAGTATCAAGGATTACCACAACCTTACGAGACAGAAGCGAGTGGATTAAAAGAAGCGATCAAATGACTAAGAAGTACATGATTATCTAACATGTCTATGGAACTTGATTGTAAGCAAGTGGTTGACGACATTGTTAGAAGACTCAACACCAACACCATATTTGACGCTATTATCGAGATTTGTAAAGTTTCTCTTCACATTTATCAAAACTTTAGGATAAGTTTAATTAGGAGACAAGTAAATAATGTTGCCCATATGTGAACACAGCCGTCATCATCTTATGCTAGTTCTCAAAATCATGATCTTATAACATCTTATAACGAGACTACTATTATCCATGAACCGAATTATGTTTGTTTCTTAAAAAAAAAATCATTTATATTATACATTCATGATTACAATAATATTTAAATTTTTTGTATTATTGAAACAAATACAAAAACTAAATACACAAGAAGAGAAAGTGAGATACGGTTTTATATTCAAACAAATGTATTAAAATTAAATTTATGATAATATGTGAATATTTTTTTTATACCAATAAATACATCTAAGAGAACAAAAAATCTTAATGAAACTTTATTGATATTGAAAACAATGTTACTCAACTTTTTTTAAAATAAATCTTAAACAGGTTATAATATTTTTTATCGGTCAATTATTCAAAAATGATGACTAATTAATTAAAAAGAAATATTTACCATAGATACATAAACAAATTATGAACACATAAATTGATTTAATTATAACTCATGGTATAATCATACATGTGATCAATATTTATTTGTGATAATGCATGAAATATTTAGTTTGTTTATTTAAAATTTAGTAAAGATATGTATAAAATAAAAATTGATTGTTGTATTTTAAAAGAAATATATTTATTAATATTAATTAGAAGTTAATTATTTGTCAACAATAGTTATTCACGATTCAAATATCAATATTTAAAATTTTAAATTTAATATTGTTTGAAGTTTTGATAGTTAAATATGAAAATAATAATAAACTTTGATAAATGTATTGAAATTTCTGATTCAAATATTGTAACATTTTATAGTTGCAATACAATTTTAGCAATACAATTTTAATAAACTTTATTTTTTTCTAAGGTGTATATTATATAAAATGGGAGAAATGATATTTCTGATACAAATATTATAAAATAAAAATTTATCACCTTTTTTCTAATATTTAAAAAAATTAGGGAAGCTTATAAAGAGGGTAGATAGATATTTTAAAATTGCATTCTTTATTATAAAACAATTGTCTTATTCGAAAACAATGATTTATTTAATACAACATTAAATAATTATTTTTAATTATATTATTCATAAGTTTTATTTAATAAATTTTATTATATATTAAATATTTAGGAGAAAGATGGATAAATGTATCCATTAATATTTTAAATTTTAAATTAAATTTCAAAACTTGTTGTTTGTTTATAGTTTTTGTTGCCTAGTTAGGAAAGTTATAATAAATTTTGATGAATATAGTGATTTAAATATAATAAATTTTAATAAATTATATTTTTTTATATGAACAAATGTGCGTATAAAGACAATATTAACGAGTAGACACAAATATTTTAATAATAATTTATATTTCATTTATAGAGTAAGATTAACAAAATACTACAATTAAATAATCATAATTATGATTATTTTAATTTAATTGATATAGGTGTAATTATTTCAACATGTCTAATTCAATGGATGGGACGCTTGACTTCTAACATCCTTGTGTGTTCCATTTTCAATCCAAGATAGTTAATCATTTAGTATTACCTATATTAATATTCAATCTCTTAAAAAAAATGTTGTACTTTTATATGATTATATTTCTTTTAATTTAAATTATTTGATAAATAAATTATGTTTCGTTTATAAATCTTATAATCAATTTGTGTTCATTTGATAGTGCAAGACTATTAACTTATGACCTTGGATTAAATTCACCTTTTCAAATAAGAATATAACTTTTTTCTTACAAAATTAATTAAAAACTCTTTTTTATTTTTTATTTTCTTTCAAAAACAACTCCAAAATTATTAAGTCTAAAACCATATCTTATCAATTAAATGTTCAAAAATCATAATCTACCAACTTTTATATACGAATAGGGATCAACTTATTTTAAAAATAAATTTTTATAAATTAATTTAAATCATAGTCTTTTAATTGAATTTAATTTAAAAATTAATTAAATAAAAAACTAATTTAATTATTAAATTACATTAATTTCAAAACTATAATTTAGAGTAAATAAAAAAACTTAAGTTGATTCTCATTCATATATATATATATATATATATATATATATATATATATATATATATATATATATATATATATATATATATATATATATATATATATATATATATATATATATATATATATATATATATATATATATATATAAATTAACAGTTATATATTTAATATTTAAAAATTATTGTGAAACATTTAAGTGGTAAGATTACCAACATAAGAAAAGATATTTAGATAATATTGTATTTGAATGTAATTGTTGAGGATTCGTTCTTACAAATATGTAAAAAAAATTTAAGTTGTTTTTTCAACAAACATGGTTTTTTTTTGTTAGAAAATCTAGTTTCCAAAAATAGTTGATCAATAAAAATGAAAATAAGTTATTGAGATACTAATATTATATATAAATATTTAACCATCAACATTTTAGTTTAATATAAGTTTTATATATATATATATATATATATATATATATATATATATATATATATATATATATATATATATATATATATATATATATATATATATATATATATATATATATATATATATATATATATATATATATATTCTCTTAAATTATTTAATTATTATTTGTATCTAAAAGTTAATAGTTATTTATTTAATATTTAAAAATTATTGTGAAACATTTAGGTAGTAACATTACCAACATAAGAAAAATTATTTAGATAATATTGAATTTTGAATATAATTGTTGAGGATTCGTTCCTACCTATATAATCCTTTCCTACCTCTATGTAATTTTTTTTCTTTCTAAGTTGTTTTTTCAACAAACATGATTTTTTTTTTTAAAATCTAATTTCCAAAAATAGTTTATCATTAAAAATGAAAATAAATTATTGAGATACTAATATTATATATAAATATTTAGCCATCATTTATTTTATGTATATATAATTCAAATTTTAAGATTATTGTCATCAATTAATCTACATCAACCTATGCATCTTATATTTTAAGTATATAAAATGTATTAACTTTTCATATTATTGGGAATATGCAAATCTTTTAGAATGAAAACCAATATAGAAAAATTGTGACTCAAAAATGAATTGACAATAACTACTAATCAAATAAATAAATATAGTATTTAAGAAAAAAAGAGTTGTATGTCATTTTATAAAATAAAGTTCTATATTTTGAATCATCCTTCTTAGTTATAAATATATAGGTTGAGAACATAAAAACAATGTGAGTAGAATTAAGTGTGATATTCATGAATGTTGCCTTAACCATGAGACATTACTTTTGTGTGACTAAAAGTATTTAGAAAATTGGTAGTAAAGTTTTAAAAATTTTAATAGAACTTTTTGGTTCATTCGATTATATTCGAAATTGTTTAGTTTGTGGATTAACTTAATTTTAGTCATTATTTTATATAATTGAATAAGATTGAATAATAGGTGGTTCAAATTTTTTTTTCTTCTCACTTTTTAATTCTAACTAGTGTATGACCTTTATTGTATTTTTATAATGTGTTTTTA